ATATTCTCGTGTAGTCCTAATTAATTATTTGCACATTGCTTTGTGCATTTCCAACAAGATTTCTTCATTTTTCAACTTATTATCCATACGGAAAGTATATCCTTCAAAAATCAAGGACTTCCTTTATTTGTACAGTCCTTTGAAAACTTCCTGTTCTACTGAATAAGACACCTAGATATGTAAACTCATCAACAATTGCTAGTACAACATCGATGCAACAGTTCAAATTCATTTCTTTTTTATTTTTAAATTTGTTTAATTTCGAAAATCATAATTTGTTTATAAAAAGTGAAGGATTTCTTTTTTATATATTTTTTAAATCAATCCGCGCAAACGTAATTAATGCGTTTTGTCGCGCGCAAACGTGGATTTTCTCGCGCATACGTATGACAAATTCGTGCAATCGTAACGCCTGACTTGGTACAGACATTTCCTTGTTTAGAAAATGGCGGATTAAACCTGGTTTAATAGCTAGTTAAACCTCTCACTTGAAAGACAGTCTCATAGATATTCCATCATATTGACAACAATGTGCGAGCAAAACAAACAGACATAATAGGTAAAAATGTCAATAATTGGGGTACAGCAGTCAACATTGTGTTATAATCTTAATTACTATAAGACAACTATTTCAAATGATATTGTTTTATTGTTTCAAAGTTAATAAAATGCTCCGCTGGGGCGCAGCTTGATACGACCTCAGAGGTCGAACCCTGAACAGTTGGGGCAAGTATGGACACAACATTCAAGCTTGATACAGCACTGAATTTGGATTTTAATTAAATATTTGACACATCACAGGTTTCTGACACAGAATGAGAGTGGTCTTAGAACTTAAAAATTTTAAATGAAAAATTTTAAAGAAAAAAAGGAAAAAAAAAATCCCCCCCCCCAAATTTATGGAACCCCCTTATGATTCATCACCCCCAAACTCAATCCCAGCCTTCCCTTTGTGGTATGGTACCTTGCAGTACAATTTCAGAGAGATCCATACACTTGAACACAAGTTATTGTCTGGAAACTAGAAAAATGCTTGGGTTTTTTTTGCCCCTTTTTGGCCCAAAATTCCTAAACGTTTAGGGCAATTACCCCCAAACTCAAACCCAGCCTTCCCTTTGTGATATGGAACCTTGCAGTACAATTTCATAAAGATCCATACACTTACACACAAGTTATTGTCCTGAAACTAGAAAAATGCTTGTTTTTTTGCCCTTTTATGGCCCCTAATTCCTAAAATTTTGAGGGAATTACCCACAAAATCAATCCCAGCCTTCCCTTTGTGGTATGGTACCTTGCAGTACAATTTCAGAGAGATCCATACACTTGAACACAAGTGATTGTCTGGAAACTAGAAAAATGCTTATTTTTTACCCCTTTTGGCCCCTTATTCCTGAATCTTTTGGGCAATTACCCCCAAACTCAATTCCAGCTTTCCCTTTGTGATATGGAACCTTGTAGTACAATTTCATACAGATCCATACACTAACACAAGTTATTGTCATGAAACTAGAAAAATGCTTGTTTTTTTGCCCCTTTTTGGCCCCTAATTCCTAAAATTTTGAGGGAATTACCCCCAAAATCAATCCCAGCCTTCCCTTTGTGGTATGGTACCTTGCAGTACAATTTCAGAGAGATCCATACACTTGAACACAAGTGATTGTCTTGAAACTAGAAAAATGCTTATTTTTGGCCCCTTTTGGCCCCTTATTCCTGAACCTTTTGGGCAATTACCCCCAAACTCAATTCCAGCTTTCCCTTTGTGAAATAGAACCTTGTGGTACAATGTCAGAGAGATCCATACACTTACACACAAGTTATGTCTGGAAGTTACAAAAATGCTTATTTTTGTCCCCTTTTTGGCCCCTAATTCCTTAACTGTTGGTACCATAACCCCCAAAATCAATCCCCACCTTCCTTTTGTGGTATTGAACCTTATGGTAAAATTTCATAGAGATCCATTCACTTAAACTAAAGTTATAGTGCGAAAACCAATGTGTCTTCGGACGACGACGACCACGCCAACGTCATACCAATATACGACCGCAAAATTTTTTTGCGGTCGTATAAAAACGACTCCATACATGCTTTACATGTTTATTGCACTTGTTGGAAACTACAAGTTAATACAGTTAAGTCCAAAGTTATTGTATTTAGCTCAAATGGTAAATCTTTTTGGGACGTATTTACTTATAATGAATCTTGTTTTGAAACTGTTACTCATTATTCCACTTTAGGTATTGTAATAAAATATAATGGTTATTTCAATTTAGCTATTATTACTTTTATGGAAAAGGTAAGAAAATCCTATTTAAAATAAAGGAAACAGTTGGTCTGAATATATAACCCATGTAGACAACATACAAAATGTTTGATACCTTTATGTTACCTATGATTATGTAATGATGTGAAATTTGGGGTATTTATTTATCATTAAGGGACTGTAAAACCTTTGAAAACTTTCACAATAAATTTATCAAAAAAGTACTTGGTGTACATTGCAAGGCTTCTAATGATGTTTGTCGTGCCGAGCTTGGTCGAATTCCACTGAAAAGTACGATTGTATGATCAATCATAAATTTTTGGAACATATACTTTCATCAGAAAATACACTTGTAAATAAAATGTTTTGTGCTACAAGGTTTTCAATCCCCTGGATTAAAAAAACTAAAGGTATTGTACAAAAAGAATGATAGAGCAGCAATATGCAAAATACGAAAAAGGCGTGCACATTCTTTAATGATTGAAATGGGAAGACATCTTAATATTCCATGAGAAGAAGGTACTGTTCTATCGGTAGTAATGCGCAAATTGTAGATGAACAACATGTTTTATTACAATGTTATAGATTTGCCTCAAAAAGAGAATTATTAGAAAATAGAATTAATGTCATATTTAAAATACAGCGTAACATTAACACTGTTGAAAAAATATTTCTAGTTGTAAACAACAGCTCAACATTTATACTTAGACTTTCTTCCTCTTTCATATTAGAGTGTTAAGATACAAGACGCCTAAGAGCCTGAATCGCTCACCTGGAAATTTTTGTGTAGATCTTTCATCAATGACTGTAATTGCTGTTTAATGTATATAAATGCGTGTTTAAACATGCCATTTAAAGTTTCTCTCTATCTATCACATATTTTGTAAAAAACTAAAATTCGTCTTTTAAGGGAAATAACTCTTTAATATAAGAGACTTGACAATTGTGTTATATCATGAATTAATAGTAGGTCTTACTTTTGCTGAATATTTTTGCCTTGTTAAGAAGGTCTTCCTTTGCTCAAACTTATCAAAATATAAGATGACAAGCCCTCCTATCCCCTCCTTTATATGAGGAGCAAGCGAGTTCGACAGATCTGAATTTTAATCAGATTGTACTTTGCTGATCATTTTTGCTGTTTGAAGTTTCTCACCGTCTATCATAGTTTCTGCAAAAAAAAGAAGAAAAAATAGAAGATAAAATTATTGTCTTTCAAGGGTAATAACTCCTATAAGGGTTTAATTGACAATTTCGTAAATGTTGACTTATTTGTAGTTCTTACTTTGCTGAACATTTTTGCCATTCAAATTTTCTGTTTATCTTTCATAGTTTCTGAGAGAAAAAAGGTAAACATTAAAAAAAAAAATAGTCATTCAACCCTGCTCGAATTTTGAAATAAAAAACATATTTCAAGGGCAATAACTCCTAAACGGAATCAATTGACGATTTTGGTCATGTTCCCTTGTGCGAATGATAATAATGATATTAAGCGGCATGAACTGTGTTAAGACCAGAGGTGTCAGGTCATTTTGGGATTGCTCAATGTATGATATTTTATTGACTTCAGTGTTGAAGACCTCACAGAAGCTTCTTATGATTTCATTAAACTTTTGTCCCATGTATATATACTCAAATCCCCCTTTCAAATAGTCTACTTTCACTATCAGGTCCAAATTAACAATTTCCAGTTTTGCAGTATGTACTTCTCATTGCAAATGTGATAATCAAATGAACTTAATTTAAGGGTGTAGACGTTTGCGTGTGAATGCGAACATCACGTCAACTTGTACGCCCTTAAATTTAGTTCATTTGATTATCATATTTGCAATGAGAAATTATAAGCTGACGAAATATGGGACTAATAGATAAATGTATTAGTCCCAGATGAAATTTTGAACTGACAGTTATATTACATATCAGAGACATATAATACTTATATGTCTCTAATTACATATTACATCAGATAATATAAAATATCTTCCACTGTTACAACCTTTGGACCAGGTGAGCTAATAAGGAATAGTTAAATAATATGATTTATCATATACTTAGAGTAAATAACTTTTAATTTTTACAGTATGGTAATAGCATTAAATTTACGGGAATTCCATATTTTCCTAAATGGTGCTTAGTGGGCTGATATGAAAAAATTATCAACTGCTTCCGGCTATTATCGCATGCCTTTCCGTAACGTTATCGCATGACATTCCGGCGGTACTCGGCAAATTCCGGAAAATACACCTCAATGGTACGTTTTCAGTGAAAAGCATAACAAAGTAGAGTACAAAACAAATATTAGGAAACAGGAAAATATGTCATGTAAAATGCAAAACAAATGATACAATAAATGCATTTTTCAAAGTTTCCACCATAATTTAGCAAGTTACTTTACAAATGTTGACTTTTCCAAACAGTGTTCATTATGTTTTGTTGATTTTTTTTTTTTATCGTCAATATAAAAATATATTATACTGTTGTTTTCTCGTCTGTTGAGGCATATGATATAAAGATTTCATATCGGATGTATTACATTTGCCGTCCGTCGTCCGCCGTAAACTTTTCACCTTTTGAACTTCTACTTGAGAACCACTTAAAAGGATGATCAATATATTAAACTGTTATTTTTCTCCAATGTTGAATCATATGATAAAAAGATCCTAACATGTCATTTTTCATATCAGATGTATTATCAGCCCTCGACCCTTCGGCTCTTGGGCTGATAACACATCTGATATGCAAAATGCCAGTAATAACTTCTGATCATATTAATATGTTACTGCATTCTATCATGTCTGTAAATATTATTATAAATGCAATAGGTCTAACCAAAGATTTGTCTAACTATGCAAATCCTTTGTCTAACCTTTTATTGTCTTAAAACTTGACGAGTTAGTGCCAACAAGGACGTATAACTAATATACGTCCTTGGTGCCTATGAAATATTTGTATTTGTAATTAATATTAGGCATGTCACCTTCATAATATAAGTTCCAAATGGAAACAATATTCTGGAATATTATTTCCACTGGAATAAATATTACAGTAAATGTTCCTAACGGAATAAATTGTATAGAATATTTGTTCCAACAGGAACAGATATTATGACATTGTTTCAGTATAACAAAGTTTCCAGCGGAATTCTGTTAGGCGGAACAAATATACGTTGACAGGCCTACCATCTCGTTTTGGAAAGGATTTGTATAGAATTCACCAATTGTTCGATCCCTTTGTTTAAATGTAAGTTTCAACTATGGTGTTTGAACAATAAAAGACTAATGTCTACAGGCTAAAATACGTTGATAGCATGTTACGTATTCGGACATTATGAAACGGTATTTAGATGTTACGAAACAAGTTACAACTGAACTCAAATATTATCCATTACGATATAGCCATTTACTATTTTAAAAGCATCATTGTTATTTTATGTTTAAAATAAACATGAAGAACAATAAGACATTTTTTTTGTTAAATTTTAATATCTCGTTTGTGCGAGAGAAAAGTTTTGTGCTGGTCTATTTCAGATGTAGGGGATAGCAATCACTATATATGTATAAAGATTTTAATTTTGCTTTATAGCTCATCCATATAAATTTTAAATATAATTCATAAGAATATTTTGACCATTTTCTTTGGTTGTAGTTTGGCTTTATATGGCAAATAGTATCTAAATTTTAAAAGATTTCTAACAGTTATCCCCCTCTTCAATGGTGGAATCACCCATGACCTTCAGCTGATATTGTGACGTAAGGTCATCCTTTTACAACCGGCATTGAATCAGAAGTCCTAGGCGAAAGCAACAGCAAAGAAAATGTAAGTTTGAACATTACGATATTTAGTATACAGTTTATCTACCCCGTCAGAAACTTGCTATTATTCATGAATCTAATTTGTGTACTCACAAGTAGTTCTTCCATTCAATATATTTGTAAAAACTTAATTTGAAGTATGACATTTCAAGGACATGTTGTGCGATTTAAAAAAAAATAAAATTGCAAGTTCATTAGAAGTCATTTATGTGACTCAAGTTACCTTTGTTCAAGGAATATTAAACACTACCGCTTACATATTAAAGGATGAATAAACAACTGTGACTAAAGTTCCATAGAATTTCAATTGAACATCGCTGTCATCATGGTCATGACATGGACAAGCCTATAATTTAGTGGGACTGGGCAGGGGTCCCTTCATTTCCTTTTTCTTTAACTTTTGGACCATTTTTCTTTATTTACTTTCACCTTTACGTTTCTTTATATTCCATTATTCTCCATTTGTTATTTTTTTGCCTATATTTCTCTTATTCTTTATATTTTTTGCCTGTTTAAACAGCACTATATTTACCCATTATTCTCTATTTTGTAAACCCCATCCAGACCCTCCTATAACAAGTTGGGGAAGATCATCATAAATAGGTACAATTCCAATTTATGGGTATTATACCCAAAATCTGGTTTCAATTTATGAAATAAATTTTGTATTTCATCATGATGGCTGTCAGTGTCATGAAGCTAATGTTGATTGTTCATATTAATGACAACATGTTCCCCCGTTAAAGATCAAATTGATGAACTTGTAAGACTTAATAGTTCATGGCACATCAAGTCAAGCTTGTGTCTGATATCAGTTCCGACATCATAACTAAATTTTAGCAAAATATTAGGTTTGACCAGGTAAGAAAATGGCATGTCAGATCAAGAAAGCCATACTTCTTTTTGAAAAGAATGCACATTTTGTACATATACATTTGTAAATTGTTCTACATTGTGGCCCATATTTTTAAAAGTTTAGTTATTTAATCTGTACTATCTAAAACATTAGAAGTGTTTGGGGAATATTTGGATAAAGAAGACTTAATTGAACTTATTTGTCTTATTCATAGAATTAATGTACTGTGGTGGTTTTATATGCCCGCACAGTAGCGGAGGGGGCATAAAGTTTTACCCTTGTACGTCACGAAGTTGGTTTTTTATTCTCTAACTTTAGTTTGCCTCAACCAAATGTTATGAATCATACACAATGCTAACTACCACAAAACATAGATCAAGTAAGAATTTGGGTAGCGTCACTTTCACCATTCTTGAGTTATGTCCCATATAACGTTATATGCAAGCAGGGGCATCATCTGTGTCGGATGGAGACATTCCCCAGTTATTTTATAATTGAGATATTTGACTTGTTCACTTTCAGGGCAGATATACCAGCAGGAGATGCAGAAAAGGGAAAGAAAATCTTTGTACAGAAATGTAAACAGTGCCATACAATAGAAAAAGGTGGAAAACACAAAGTTGGACCAAATTTACATGGTCTGATTGGCAGGAAAACTGGACAAGCACCTGGATTCCCTTACACAGATGCCAACAAATCAAAAGGTACTTAATTTGTGAAACCTGTTGTGGTTCAGACATGGATTGGTATAACTTACTTTTAGTTTCATAATAAATTTGTGTTAGGATACTTTGTCCAAATTAGCAATTATTCCTTGAAGAAAGTTTATGTAGCACACAGACAGGAGAGTATAAGATTTAGCAAAAAAGTAGACATAGACTGTATATGCTCATAAAAATGAGTATGCATCCAACAAGCAAAGTCCTGTTGCTTTAAAAAAACTATAGGTCATCACACAGCCTTCAACAATGAGCCAAACCCATACATATAAAAGACCTGACAGGACAAAATGTAATACAATTCAGTCCTGAAAACCAACAGCCTAATTTATGTACAAAACAATGAAATAAAACTCCAAACACTTGACTTTTGAGGGCACATTCATAATGTGGCAGGGTTAAACATGTTTATGAGTGCTCAACCAACCCCTTAACCTAGGACAGTTGTGTAACACAGCACAATATAAGAAAACACTTTAAAAATCAGTTGAAAAGTCTTGAATTATCAGACTGACACAAAGCACATAAAACAACTTACAAAAGGACCAAAGAGCAAATTAATACCTTATTTTTCTCTTTTGAATTGTTTTACATTTGTCATTTCGGGGCCTTTTATAGCTGACTGGCGTATGGGTTTTGCTCATTGGTGAAGGCCGTACAGTGACCTATAGTTGTTAACTTCTATGTCATTATGTCTCTTGTGGAGAGTTGTCTCATTATGACAGTTGTTTTCCATTCATTTGATATGTTTGAGCTTTTGATTTTGCCATTTGCTAAAGGACTTTCTGTTTTGAATTTTCCTTGGAGTTCGGTAATTTTGTTATTTTACTTTTCATTAGAAATCATACCACATCTTCTTATGTTTATACTTAAAGAACAATTAAAATAATAATCTAATTGCAATTGTCCTTTTATATCCTTTAAATAATGAAATTTTATGAGCTCATGAATTTAAAAAATCTTTTTCAGGAATAACATGGGCAAAAGACACATTGTTCATCTACCTGGAAAACCCAAAGAAATACATCCCTGGAACCAAGATGATATTTGCTGGTTTGAAGAAACCACAAGAACGAGCTCATCTTATAGCATACATCGAGTCAGAAAGCAAAGATTGATTATACTCATTTTAGGATTTTTTAAACATTTATTTATGGATTCTTAACATGTACATTCAAACATCATTAACTCTGTGTGTCTGGATTACACATTGATAAACAGTTGTATTTTGTCGATCAGTATCATTGTTTTTAAAGTTTTTAAAACCATATGGTTGAATATTGAGTTTTAATAAAGTATTTGATGCCAGCTGATGATATTTTTGATTTCAAAGATGATAATCATTATTAGTAGCAATGCCAATTCAAGCATAATTGGATTCTCCCTATTTAGTAAGAATGTAATTCGGGCAAATTCTTATCATAAGCCAGGGGCATAGCTACATTCTAATTGGCCATGGTATGCACATTTTGGGTCACTGAAAAAAAATATAGTTTTGTCGCTCCTGCCAAGAAAGTTGCAGAACGGGGGACCTCAGGACTACAATCCAGGGACAGCGTAAACTGACAGGTTTCATCTATCCTTGACCTCATTTTCATGGTTCATTGGTCAATGTTGTTTTTATACGCCCCTTTACGGGACATATAATGGTATACTGTTGTCCGTCTGTATGTCGGACAATAACTCAAAAACGCTTTAACCATTTTTCATGAAACTTTGGTGAATTTGTTATATCTATTGACATAAGTTCACTTTTGATTTTTAGAAATTTTAGATTTTCAGTTTCTGAGTTACATGATTTTATTCATAAAAAAGGGGATTTTCTAGTTTTCGGACAATTATTCAATTATAAGTCCCCTACCGACGAAGTCGAAGGGGACTTTAGGCTTGCACACCGTCTGTCCATCCGTCAATCCGGCAAATCAGTTTTCCACACTTTTTTTCTTCGTGCTTAAAGATATTGATTTGATATTTGGTATGTTGTTTTATCATGACAAGTTACAGATCAAGTTCGAATTTTGTTCAGGTCTAATAATTTTGTGCAGAGTTATGGTCCTTGGACTTAGAAAATTCACTCAAATATTCAGTTTTTTGCACTTTTTTTCGTCATGCTTGAAGATATTGACTTAATAATTGGTACATTGTTTTATCATGACTAGTTACTGATCAAGTTCGAATTTTGTTCCAGTCTGATGATTTTGTGCAGAGTTATGGTCCTTGGACTTAGAAAATTCACTTATAAAATGATCAGTTTTCCACGCTTTTTTTTGTCTTGCTTGAAGATATTGACTTAACATTTGTTATATAGTTTACACCATGACAAGTTATAGATCAAGTTAGCATTTTGTTCCAGTACAATTAATTTTTAACTGGTAGGGGACCATGTATTGTCATGCAATACTCTCAGAATGCTTGTTTTTATTATATAAATGCTTTGAGCAGTTTTCATGAAACTTTGATGACTGGTAACTGTATATAAAAAATAAGCTCCCTTTAGTTTGTTATAAATTTCTGATATGACATTGAGGAGTTGTGGAACTTTATTCGTTAAAAAGTGAGGGGCGTATTATGTACTCATGGCGCAGCTCTTTATTAGTCCCCTACCGACGAAGTCGAAGGGGACTTTAGGTTTGCACTCTGTCCATCTGTCAGTCTGGCAAATCAGTTTTCCAGACTTTTTTTCTTCATGCTTGAAGATATTGATTTGATATTTAGTGTATTGTTTTATCATGACAAGTTACAGGTCAAGTTCAATTTTCACGATTTTAGCTTTTCTCCTTGTTCAGTGGAAGCCCTTTCCCTAGAATTAATTTTTTGATGAAATACTTATTAATTACTAGATTTCTGTTCAAAGGGAAATAACTCATTTTTTAAAAGACATTGTATCAATGATAAATTACATTTTGGATTTTTTTCTTTTTCTTTAGTAAATTGTTTGAAGAATTTAGTGGTAGGTTTGTTTGTTATTTTATGTAGTTTACACCATGACAAGCTATAGATCAAGTTAGAATTTTGTTCCATTACAATGAATTTTTAACTGGTAGGGGACTATGTATTGCCATGCAATACTCACAGAATGCTTGTTTTTTCTGATTTTGGTCTATTTGTCAGATACATGTACTATAAGCAAAAGGTCAACTATATTTGATTTACAGAAAGATTGTAAAGTGCACATGTCAAAAAAAGAAAATGTGGTATGATTGCCAATGAGACAACTCTCCACCAGAGACCAAATGACGTAAAAGTAAAAATATGTCAACATTGAGCAAACTCATACCCCATAGTGAGCTGTAAAGGCCCATAAATGACAAATGTAAAATAATTCTAATGAGAAAACCAGTGGCCTGAGATCTGTACAATACAATAAACGAAAAACAAATATGATATTCAGCAATAAACTTCAACCACTGAATTACAGGCTCCTGATGGGTCAGGTACATACAGAGTGTGGCATGGTTTTACTTGTTTGCGGGTGCCCAACCCTCCCCATACCTGGGATAGTGTTGCAACAGCATGACATATGAACAAACTATAAAAATCAGTTGAAAAGGGCTCAACTCATCAGATCAATACAAAGAAGAAAGCCACAGATCAGATATGGCAGGGTATTTATACATCCCAACAACAAAAAGACACTAAGTACAGATCTGAGAGAACTCAGTTACTGACAGCTAGTTTAAACCCTTTAACATGCTCCACAGGGTGCAGCTTAATATGACCGCAGAGATTAAACCATGAACAGTTGGGGCAAGCATGGACACAACATCCAAGCTCTTGAGTTTGGATTGTGAATAAATATTTGACACAGCATAGGTTTCTAAGAACTTAAGAATTTGAAATTGGACATTTACCCATTATGGTCCAATATCAAAATTTAAAGACATGGTTAGATTCAGCATTTCAAAGAACCCTGAGAATTCAATTTTTGATGAAATCAAAGTTTAATTTTGAACTGTTCGGACCTCAATGTGGACCAATTATATAATGGAGCCCAATTCCAAAATCTAGATACGCGGTAAGATTCAGTATGTGAAAGAACGCCATGTATTCAATTTTTATGCCCCAGCCACTACGGCGGGGGCATTAAGTTTTACCCTTGTCCGTCTGTACGACCGTACGTCCCAAAGTTGGTTTCCGTTCTCTAACTTTAGTTTGCCTCAACCAAATGTTATGAAACTTATACACAATGCTTATTACCACAAAACACCGATCGAGTTTGAATTTTGGTGGCGTCACTATAAATGTTCTAGAGTTATGCCCCTTTACAAATGGAAAAATTGCTGAATTTTTCGTTTCCGTTTTCGAACTTTAGTTTGACTCAACCAAATGTTATGAAACGTATACACAATGCTTATTGATCAAGTATGAAATTGGGTGGCATCACTTGTACCTTTCTTGAGTTATGCCCCTTTATAAACATAAAAATTGCTGAATTTTTCGTTTCCGTTCTCTAACTTTAGTTTGCCTCAACCAAATGTTATGAAACTTATACACAATGCTAATTACCACAAAATACAGATCAAGTTTGAATTTTGGTGGTGTCACTTTTACTGTTCTAGAGTTGTGCCTGTTTACAAATGGAAAAATTGCTGAATTTTTCGATTCTGTTCTCTAACTTAAGTTAGCCTCAACCAAATGTTATGAGACTTATACACAATACTTATTACCACAAAACTCAGATCAAGTACAAATTTGGGTAGCGTCACTTTTACTGTTTTTCAGTTATGTCCCTTTATAACTTTATATGATATGCAAGCGGGGGCATCATCTGTGTCCCATGGACACATTCCCCATTTATTGTTGAAATCAAACAAAGTTTAATTTTTGACCCCGATTTGGACCAACTTGAAAACGGGGCATTAAATCAAAAATCTAAATACATGTTTAGATTCAGCATATCAAAGAACCCCAAATGATCAATTTTTGTTGAAATCAAATAAGTTTACTTTTGCACTCTGTGGACCATTTTCGAATTTAGGCCCAAAATTAAAAAAATATAAATACACAGTTAGATTTGGCATATCAAAGAACCCCAATATTTCAATTTTAGATGTAATCAATCAAATTTAAATTTGGACCCTTTGGAGACTAAAATATCAATCAGTACACATCCAACATCCAATGGATTAATTGTAAAGGCATCATTAAGTTGGAGAAATGCGCAATGTCAAAATACACTATTGACAGATTGTAGAACATGTTGACCTTTATTTTCATGGTTTTGTGTGCTTATCAAATACTATAGGAAATAGGTTGATATTTGGTTTATGGAATGATTGTAAGGTGTACATGTCTTGCAGGGTTCATCTGACCTTGACCTCATTTTCATGGTTCATAAGTTAATGTAAAGTTTTCATGGTTATGTCTGTTTCTCAGATACTTTCACCAATAGGTCAACTTTATTTATTGTGTGTAGTGATGGTATGGTGAACATGTCTGACATGGTTCACCTGACCTTGACCTCATTTTTATGGTTCATTGGTCAATGTTCAATTCTCATAATTAAGTGTGTTTCTCTGATACATGAGCAATAGGTTAACTATATTTGGTGTATGGTATGATTGTTAGGTGTACATGTTGTCTCGTTGGTTCATCTGACCTTGACCTCATTTAAATTGATCATTTATAATGTTAATTTTATTGGAAACTTATAGTAAAACCTTCATATTACACACTATTATCATAAATTCAATCATGATAAGTAAAGCAGGAGAGTCATTTCAGAGTGTGCACTCTTGTAAGGAAATAATTATAAATATAAGTTCCAGTGTCAACACTAGCCATTGACAAGTTGTCCCCTATACCCATCATGCCTCCTTTAATTTGACCTGCAGGCAAAAGAAAGCAACTGTTGAATAATATTTGGGAAGATATCCACATCTTCAACTATATGCAGGTATCTGACTGATATCTTTTGAAAATTCATAACTACAAGTTGATGTTATGCCACCATGACTAGTCTGAAAGTTATTGATAGGACTGTCTACAACTCTCTAAACTAAATTTTCTTTTTCATTAGTATTCATTTACGAAATGAAAAACTGTGAAACTTTCGTTGTAATTCTTTGTTATTTCTTATTTATATACATATATCAGTATATATATAAATTTAACATAACTTAACTGCCATTTCAAATACGTCTTTGCTTGCAGGGAACTTTTCAGGTTGATACAAGCAAATCTTTGTGGCAAAGGGATACACAGAAATTATCGACACAATTAAAAATATAAAACATTTTTCGTTTTAATGATAAGAAAATATTGTCCCCAGATTCCAATTTTTTTAAAAGAAATCAATCAGCTTCAATTAAACTTCGCTGTATAGTGTGAAAAAAGGATAAAAACAACAAAATAAATGTGATGGTGTTTTCGCTGCAAAATCGTTATTCAACTTCAGAAGTAGCATGATTTACATTCTGATCCAATTGTTAATGTCAAGTTTATGAACCATAAATCAACAAAGCTGGCATACACCAAAAAGTCATTACTTTTAATAGTAAGTTAGCAGCTTATGGTCATAATTCATTTTAGACTGTTTTTAGTTCTGCATTTTAGGCCCTTTGGTTTTGTTACTAAAATTAATTGTGGGTTAGGACATTTGGTCTCGAGACTACCAGACGAATGTTCTTTAAAGGATTTGAATTGTATGTTCACAACTCAGTCAATAAATATTAAGCAAATTACAAATAATTTAAAGGAATTTGTTGTTTGCTCTAACACAGTTCAGTTAAATAACCTTTATCAAAAATAATTTTTACGTTCTTATTTATTTCAGAAAAAAAGTACAAAGTTACATTCAAATACATTTTTAACAACACACAAATAACATTTCATAAATTTGATGCCAGCATCAACTTTATAAGCAAAGGTAGTTCCAATTGGAAAAATTTCCTTAAAAGTTCAGTGTATCTGCATCACTTCCTTCTTCTATTGTCCCTTCTTCCAATTCACACTGCTTATATTCTTCAATTAGTTCATCCAAACTCTCTAATAATATAATACAAATTATTAAGGCTTTGAGACATGCTACACAATGTAGGTACCTCTTCATTGTTGTCATTATTCTATATTCTGTAAACCCCAATCAGACCCTAACACCTTGTTGCAATGATAACATAAGGAATGTAAAAGTTTTCTTCTTTTCTCTGAGTACAACCTTGCCAACTTAATGTAATATTTTAATATTGTGTTAGCAGGTTTGTGATATTGTGTGATGACTTCTATATATATTTGAACCATATTAAGGGCCAAATTAGGGCTTAAGTTAATGTTCCGACTCCATAAAAAAATTCTTTAACTTACTTTTACATTCTGAAAATACTTTTGTTACATCTTCTTTGAAGAAAATATGACTATTTGTTTGTTGTTTATATGCACTCTGAAAAGACAACAGGTACCAGATTATATTGCTGTGATGTTAAGAAACATAAAACATTTATTACTTTTGATATGTACATGTAGTATCTCAACTGATTGCTTGAATCAAGAAAAATAAGCTTATATGAGTTATTCAAATGCTTAAATAAAAGAATTGTTTTCTTTTTTATCAGATAGACATTTTGTACTACCTGTTATCTAATACAATTAGATCACGGACTCTCTGCACATGTAAATCTTCATTGGGAATACTACTCTTACCACTTTTGTGCCATGTGAGTGTTTTTTCTATTGTAGTAATACTCTTTTGAGTCATTCATATCTTTTTATTTCATATTTATTGATAAAACCTTTCTAATACATTATATAAGTTGCATGACATCTGTCTAATTACACACATTTCATGCACTTTAAAGTTTCAGTGTAGAAATGTGCAATTATCTGCTTTAACTATGCTTTCTCTATTAATATAGACCTTACTTGTCCTTTCTTCATCTGTTTAAGTTCATGTTCCAGAACTCTTTTTTCATTTATCTAACAAAGAAAAAAGATTCAAATTATAATAGTGTGTTTATTGTTACCCTCCATTGTCAGCCTTTCTATCTAATTATCTATTTTCTGGTGCAGTAGATTCATTAATTTTCGTGGTTAAAAGAAATTTTGTTTAGGTATTTCATGGATAGTTGATTTCAATGTTTTGCCAAAGTTTGCATACAAGCCTATAGGAAATTTATTTCTCATTGAACATTAAAAATTGTGTTTAATCTTTAACCACAAAATCCACTAAAACAAATTTATATAATGAATCAACAGAATGCAAATGTGTAATGAATATGGTTACAGTTTTGAATTATAAGGATAACCGTTCATTTAAATGTTACAGGTTGGCCAAATGGAAAATAACACAATTTTTTTTTTCTTATGGCTTTTAAGATTTTTGAAGCAGGGATATGTCATTTGGTGTTTTGTGCTGTTGGATTGTTGTCCCATTTTATTCACATATTTATTCCAATTGGGCCCAAAATGTTGCACTTTTATTAAATTTATGACTTTCATGCACACAAGTTGACACAAATAATATTTCTGAAATAACCTAAATGAGCTATGCTGGAGGACAAAAATTTGTAATTTTAATAGTCAAATTTATAAAATGTTTGAGATCAGAAAAACCAAAAGGAATAAATGGGGAATGTGTCTGTGGGACACAGATGATGCCGCCGCTCACATATAATGTTATAAAAGGACATAACTCAAGAACGGTAAAAGTGACGCTACCCAAATTCGTACTTGATCTGAGTTTTGTAGTAATAAGCATTGTGTATAATTTTCATTACAGTTGGTTGAAGCAAACTTAAGTTAGAGAATAGAAACGAAAAATTCAGCAATTGTTTCCCTTTGTAAAGGGGCATAACTCTAGAACAGCAAAAGTGACTCCACCAAAATTAAAACTTGATCTGTGTTTTGTGGTAATAAGCATTGTGTATAAGATTCATAACATTTGGTTGAGGCAAACTAAAGTTACAGAACGGAAACGAAAAATTCAGCAATTTTTCTATTTATAAAGGGGCATAACTCTAGAAAGGCAAAAGTGATGCCACCCAAATTCAAAATTGATCTGTGTGTTGTGTGTATAAGTTTCATAATATTTGGTTGAGGCAAACTAAAGTTAAAGAAGGGAAACCAATTTCGAAACATATCGACGGACGTACAGACAGACAAGGGTAAAACTTAATGCCCCCTCTGCCACGGAAGGAAAAGTTTTACAGCAAAGCATGCCCTAAATAAATAAAATTCAAATGCATTTTATGATTTTGAAATTTAAAAACTAAAACTGGATTTTGCTGTGCACTTTTTTTCGTTCCTACAGTAGGTGCCAAAATAAACAGAGTTTGGAAATAGGTCTGAGATCTTCCCCATAGGTAATAATTGAAGGACCATATTAAGTGAAACTCAACTGTTTGTTAATTTTATCATCTTTTGCAGCATGCAGGGACAAAAAAAAGTGCACAGCAAAATCCAGTTAAGTTTTTAATTTTCTAAAACATAACATACAGTTTAAGTTTATTAATCTAGGGCATGCTATGTCTTAAAACTTTTCCAGATACACAGGTTTGTCTGTACTGACAGAGTAAATTTTGAGGTGAAAACGTAGCCATTTACGCCAAAGGGTCCACATGAACCTTAAGTAACGATTTCACACAAGGAAAGCGGACATGAATATTTCTATAGATGCCAACGTTAAATACATTAATAATGTTATACAAATAGACAGGAAAAAACCTTTAACAAGTGAGACTCGCTATACAAATCCTTGTGATAACTGATTCCCTGTGAGTGTGTATACTCAGGAACATATATATTGACATACTGTTCCCAGGTATACTTAAATTGTTTTATTGCAGTGTATCAAGCAACAATATTTTGGGGAGGGTTAATTTTCTAGTAGTAAGGACTGGCTCGGGAATTAGGTAGGCAAATACTCCAATTATTCTTTTCCGAGTGCTACATGTCCTCCTGTACACAATATCTGAGGCTTATAAAGAGCTTACTTACATACATGTCATAGGGCAAAATATTTTGTTCATCACAATCATTAACGACTCATTGAGACACAACAGTAAAACTGTTAAACATTATTGATTAATAAAATGAAATATTAACATAAAAAATTCCGGTGACACCTGTTTCTCTAGTTCTCCCCTTTTTTGGCTTGTTGACATTTTGTATCCAGAATTGCCTTAAACTGGACCCCTGCTGTTGTTTCAATCTTATCTAAAAAAGTTTGTGTCGAAGTATCAATCAGCGGGTGGCCAGTTAAGAATTGCCTATCTCCGTCATAGATTTTGTATTTTAACAATTATGAAACCGGAAGTGGTGTTAGTGTCGCTATTGCCATAGTGATCATCCAAATTGAATGTGACAGATTCAGCCAAAAATCATTGAATTTATATAGTCTTTCCTTCCAGAGATCGTATGGTTTTGTTGTTAGACTGACGCTTCACCTAAGAAATTCAAAATGAGCGCTGTAACAACAGCTACAAGGTAGGAATAGGAAATTAGTTTCAACAGCACACGGTCACTGATAGTGATAATTTTATAATTCTTTCTTTCTTTCTTTCCAAATCTTCACATCTTTTGTAGGACAACCACACCGCTACACTATCTGTTCGGCATGTAGAACAAAACCCACCACCATAAATGAACGAATATATGTACACTATATTTTGAATAATACTATCCTCCACCTATATATACAGGATCACTGTTTTATAGGCTTTCATGTCGATCCGGCCCCACGTCGATCCGGCCCAAGTCGATCCGTCCCACGTCGATCCGGCCCATATTTAAAGTCGATCCTGCCCAATAAAAAAATATATTTATAAGGAATGAAAATAAAATAAAGATAGATAAATGTTTATGAATTTTATTATAATGTAATAGGTGTACGGTAAAACAAAATGGCCTTTGACAAATATTTTCTTTAGATGAGATGTTAACCCTCCAATACTTCACTTACCTGTTGTCATCCATCAACGATACTTTTTACAAATTCCATTTATACTGTTAAAATTTGTCACAAAATCCTCCAAAGTCAATATAGCTTATAATTCATATTTTATTATGGGGCCGGATCGACGTAGGGACGGATCAACGTGGGCCGGATCGACCGGATACCTTTTATAGTTGCTCGCATAACTTGTTGTATGTACTCTTAGTTGCATTTATAATTCATAGGCTAGTTACCGGACATATATACAGGGGGATTATATATGTTTACGTGGTAAAATTGCTCATACATAAAAAGTGTTGTAAAATAATTACATCAGTCAGGTTCGCACTCGGTAAAAAAACAACAAAAAAAAACCTTACAGTAGTAAAATCTAAAGTAGTTCGCCTTTCATATCGGTCTTATTACCGTCCAGTATACGGGTAGTCCATTCACAAAGGACTAAGAGTCTAAAAACTAAAAACAGTTTGTTTTCTTTTCTTTTTTTTTTATTATTCCTCTGCGCATTGAGCTTATTGTCTTTGTTTTCACATCGTAAAATCTAATAGAACGTTCATATTGTCTAAAAACTTAAATCATTTGTACTCTGCGCATTGAGCTTTTCATTTCACATCATAAAATCTAATAAAATTTAAATATTCACCTTATCTATAATAATATTAGCACTTCATGCACAGTTTCATCACAATCGGACTAAAGCCGTTTACGATCTAAACACACACTGTATATGTAATGCCAATTGTCATATGTCTAGTTACATAGTTCTAAAAAAATGACTTTAAGAGGTAAAAGATATCATCTCGCGTCTGTATTGGCAGTATATATGCATAATGTTCTTTGCACGTATGGGCATAATACTCTCAGGAAGCATTTGACATTTATGATGTTATACTATGTGTTCGACCTATTTGGAATTGGCTGCCCTACACCCCCAGACCCCACCCTCCCATAGACCATAATTCAGTATCTGACAATTTCCGATAGTTGTTCATCATTTCCCGTTCTTTCTACTGTGATCATGGTGATGAGTCAACTGGTTTTATGTGAAGTTTTAAAGACTTAATAAGATGAAGCAGATGTTACTTGTGACAGATGACAATGAGCATTACTCATTAAAAATAAAGTGATGACATGATGTGCTACATTTGCGGACATGGGGAAACCGGAGGTTATTGGACTGGGAGTGTGGAATGCATTAACAAATATTGAGTCTTGGTTATAGCTGAGACTACCATGCTATAGTAGTCTTAGGTTTTAGTCAGTCGTCTACTTGGAAACATTATTTGTTTGTTTTGCTCGATAGCATACATGTAAAGTACAAGCAATTGTTTATACTTTTCTATAAGTGATTTGTTTTACTAATGAGACTTTAAAATTTTAACTGCAATGATGGGTAAACCTTGGTACACTTTTCATCATGCTCACTAAATATGAGTATGATATGTACATTTCATTTTTTGTTTGTTTCAACATATCCAATATTCCACATATTCCAAGAATATATTTTTAATTACATTTCAGTTACATTGATTTTTAAATGTAATTAATTACATTACAATTGCATTATTTTGCAATATTAAGCAATTATAGGTATTACTTCCTTTAAAATAATGATTATTTACAATCTAAGTCTACATAAAGAAATAGAAAGTACATGTGAGAAGTACATACTAAACGAAATAAACAAATACAGTTTACATATATCATTATGAGAGTGCATTGATCAGAGAAACAGGTAATGTTTTAAAGTTCCAAGCAAATACTTCAATGTAATTGAAAGTAATCCATAATTATTAACATGGCAAAATGGCAATGCAATTTATTACTTTCAATTACATGCAATTGAAAATATGCTCAATCATCTTATTTATATCAATTACAAATTATTTAAAATTACTGTTAAATTTGTTATTAATAATTGCCTGTATTACAAATACATTTTTAATCACCCCACGTGAAAAACTATGACTTTTCCATTTAGGAATACATGAATTGAATAGGGAAGTTTTTGAATGCAATCTCTTATTATTGATTACTTTGTAGTATGAGTTCATCTGAAGTACCAAGTAATGTTGGACCTGGTGGAAATCAACCAGAAATTCCAGAAGAACTACCAATAGCAAGCGAAGAAGGACTTAGATTTCTTGAAAGTATAAGTGAGTATTTAAATAAGAATTAGTAACTACCAAATAGAGATCTCAATTGTCCTCAAGTGTTTTATTTTCTGTTTTTATTCATAACAATAGATATAGACAGCAATCCAAAAAAATACAGTAACAAAAACTATTGTGTACATGTGATCATCATGTGGTATTAGCAGTGAACAATCAATATCATCATTAAGAAAACTTAAATGTCTTAAAACTACAAAAGAATATTTTTATTCAGTGGAATAAAATTCTTAAAGCAAAAATTGGTTTCCATCTGTCTGTCTCCATGCTGAAGCTTATGAACAAATTTAGTAGCCTTTAAGATCCAAACAAACAAATTTCAGCGTTTATTGATAATGAAAATGGACTAAGTTAAAAGTATTTTGCATATTTATAAGACAATTTCACAAATGGCGCTAAAAAAACTATTAAAATATCCCATATATCAATTACCTGTTTCATCAGAAAATTATGGTCTTAAGAGTACAATATTTTGTCATTTGTGACACTTAAGACACAGTATAGAAATTGGTCATTTTAACATATTTAGTAAACAAACAGCCAACAGTTCAAACAATATTTTTAAAACAGACTATTTTATACCTATTTCTAACATTATTTTTGGAACTGAGCATTATTTTATGCCAACTTTGAAACATTGTATACTACATGTACTTATACATTAAAAGGATAACAGGAATAACCAAGAATGTTAACATCACATAAAAAATTAATCTCTAGACTACGTGTCATTATCTTCTATTTTTCAAATGGCATTCCAATGGTCACATGACTGTTTTCTGGAATAGCCTTGAAAATGAAGAAATGCATATAATTCCATCAAAATAAACATGTCAATTCAAGATGGTTACATTCTTTCTTAGTTCCAGAGGAAGATTATAAATACCTGATGTTTGATGACAATCTAGCCACCACATCAGATACTGGTAAAGAACTGGGAGAGTTTACAGTATCAGTAGAACCTACTCGATACAAATCACAAGACTGTTTCCTCATCCACGCTAATAGTCATGGTGCTATTGATGGTGTTCCATGTGGTACATCTATCACAGCTTATGTTGGTCAGAATCTAGAAACAATTGAACAACAACATCATGAATATGTTAAGGTAAGATTACAAGGTGTAAGTTAAGTATATATTTTAGACTCAGATCAACATCCAGACTGTAAATGACATCTGTTTCTCATATTGAAGTTTGATCTGATGTCACAGTCTCAAATCAACATCAAATAAACAAGGAATTATTAACTCTGGAAAAGAAAGGAGTTAGTTAGTTCATACAGAAATATTAGTGAAAGTAAACTGAACCTTAGCCATGTGTGAGTTAGTTCATACTGAGATATCAGTGAAAGCAATCTGAACCTTAGCCATGTAGGCATGGCTCAATTAATGGCTTAGTTTTCATCATACATGTACATTTCTTTTCAATTTTCCAGAGTTCAAAATTATTCCAGATTCAAATAATTCCTTGTTAATTTTTTATCCTTTAATCCATTCCTAATTTAATGTCATAAATCATAAGAGCAAAGTCAGATAAGAGTCTCCTCTAAACAAAGCAGTTGGAAAACCATTTTTGTGGTATTTTTTATAAAATCAAACAAAAAATTGCCAATTTGTGACATCATATCATTAAACTTACAACATCTTAATATTAAAACAACCAAATTATAAATTACTTTATAGATTTCCATATGTTTCAATTTGATTGTAAAATGCCTGACATTTTGTACATTTTAGCTTGAAAACTGTCCACTTGATAGAAAAACATTCATTGTGCAACAAGATGAAGGATATGTTGTAAACAGAGTTATAACACAAGGGGAGGTAAGTTGCAATAGTAAGACAGTTCAAAAAGATTATAGGGAAAGCCTAACTAAAACATTTTTGAAAGATTTTTGCTTTTTAGTTTTATTGAAGATGTATGTGCTGGAAAGCTACTGTTAAAAGTTAATAAGATCTCCTGCAGATGTCAAACTGTTAGGTGAAACAATTATTTGATTGCAAGTTTCTCTTTTTTCTGTATCAAAAACAATATTTTTTGTATAAAGGACCAAGGAGGGTTATAAATGCTTTTGCATATTAAATTTTGATGCCAAGAGTTCTGAAGGGGTGGGAAAAACTGCACAAGATTGAAAAATGCTTTATTGTTGTTACTTATTGTTAACAAAAAATTGTTATGTATCAATACATCATTTTTTGCTTGAAGCAATGTATTTTAAAGTGAACATGTATGATTCTTTCCCAAGTATCAATCATCAGCTGATTGTGTCAATTTCACTTTGTAGATACATGTATAACATAATACATGTGGGTGCCTCTCTACAGGGGATTTAGACAAAATTGATATTTTTTTAATCAAAAATAATTAAAATAAATTAATTATATTACACCAAATAATTGCAAGTTGATAAAGACAACAAAAGCTAGCATTTCACTTGTTTCTTAGCCTTGTACAAATACAGCTGATATTTATAGACAGTAAACATATTGTTTAGGCATGTTTTTTTTTTAAATGGGATCATTTATGGTTGTAAAAAATATGTATGAATATATTTAGGATGTACAACGATCATCAAAGACTTTAGAATTGGAACAGATGAAAGGATTTATCTCTGAAGGTAAGAATATTTTGTTGTAAATAGTAAATCACAATTTATTTCAATAGACACTTGACATTGCCACTTAAACATTGATTAATACTGACTTGAAATTAAAAATAGCTTTTATTTTTAGTGTTGATAACATTCAAGATGAAATTGTATCACACCAGCAAAAATAACTGTGATGTATGATATAAAATGTCACTCTTTATTTAACAATTACTTCTTTATATTGTGAACAAAAGGAGATATGTCAATTAGATACATTGTAGCAACCCAACAACACCAGTATATATAGCAGAACTTATTAGCTGGTTTATGTTATAAATTTGCAAACAGTAAGGCCAAATGAAAAATTAAATATCTTTTTCTTAGAAAATAATTGCTTGGAACATCCTATTTTATATTCGTGAATAAAAGTTTCAAAAATGTTTAATATACAATAAAAATTGGACTATTTATATGGCATTTCAAATTACAAACCTTATTGCTTCCTGAATGTTTGAGTCTTTGACCCATGTATACTATTTGGTGAAATATTAAACAATGCAAGAGCATTATTATCTTCAAGTTAATTGTGCTCAGAGATTAACCATGTAAATGGTCAGTAAATTCTGAATAGTTTGTCATACAAGCTAAAAATATTACACCATAAACATTAATGAAAAACTGTCCAATAATTATTTGTAATTTTTTTTTAAAGGATCAAATTTACTGCTGCACAGACTGTTAATTGAGAAAGGAGTATCAGAAAATTTACAATTGTTGTCATTTGATTCTGAAACTAATCTATGTGCTGCTTCTTATGTAAGTTTATATTAAGAAACAGGGTAAAAAAATTGGTATGATATCTTAAACTTTCACACTTAAATTTAATGATATCGCATTTTAATTTTTAAAAATATGGTAAATTCAGAAATTATTGCGTGCATTTATTATTGCAATTTTGAAGAATGGTAAATCTAGCAACTCAATGACAAATATCAATAGACAACTAATGGATAATTAAGAAATAATTCATGCAAGCCATAGATTTGTAGGAAATTTTCACATGGCCTGGACTTTTACATGTATACTCAAATTTTATCCCAAGAGTTAGTGAGGGATAAAGTAAACAAATATAAAGACCCTGACCATGTGAAAATGACAACAAATCTAGGGCCTGCATGGATTATTTTGATTCAAATAAAACTGAAGTGAAGATAAGTTTTCCAAGTGTATGTCTGTTCTGTTTTATCCTCTGTATGATAAAAAGTTCCAACAAATATATATATGGCCTGCATGAATTAATTTATTAAATAACAACTAATCCTTATTATTCTTAACCTAAAAATTTGCAATTTTTAATTTACTTTTATTTAATTTGCTATACAGTCAAATCCACAGTTGACATGTCGTAACTAAAAAGTGAGCTGTCATGTTGACTTGCAGAGATCCATAAATATGCAATAATGCAATTGAATCCAAAAAATGAATCAATACCTACCTCAAAAACTCGAACACTTATATACAAAGTTTTTCCTTATTTCAGAAACCTTTAGAGGACAGAACACAGACAGTTGATGGTACAGAAATCAGGGTATATGGTGTAGAAAGAACAATCAACTCTTTTGTAGATCTTCCTACCACATGGCAGTCATATTTTGTACAAGATGGGTAAGTCTATGGGCAATTTCACGATATATCTATACTAAGCACAGACTCACAGATGTAAATATTTATTGCTTTTACAGCTTACCCCCACTTAAATCCACATGTATCATAACATAACCAGATTTACTCGTACAACACATTGATTCCCCCATCTGCAGTAAAACAGAAGAATAGCAAGAGCTGTAATTCTCTCAAATAGAACAAAGTGCAAACTTGATATCTTATCTAACATTACACAACAACATAATCAGCTCATTTTCTGAAGGCATAGTGAAAAAGAGTGACACTTGGTGCTGATTAATGTAAACACAGTATGGAAAATTTTCTTTTGTTCCGTAATTGTCCAAATTTTTGGGATGATTTTATGCCAAAAATTTAATTTTCTGATAAGAAGGAGGAAGCATACCCCTCATGCTCATCTCCCTGAATCCACCACTGAACCATCTGTTTTACTGCAGATGGGAGAATAAATGTGTTGTGCAGATACATCTAGTTTGTTTGCCGTTTCTTAAATCATCATGAGTTTATTTTTGGGATGAATTATGATAATTTAGTTTCTGACTGATTTTGCATTTGTTCAGACTATTATGACGCATTTGCTAATCTGATGCGGCAGGTTTAATCATTACCAAAAAATTGAAGAAAATTGAGGTGGAATATTACTGACGGTGCTGTATTGACTGAGAGACATTATTTAGGCCTGGTCTTATAACTTTCAAATTTCAATCAATTATACACAGCCACACAGGTCCAGATCCAGTATTTGTCGAACATATTTATCCTGATTTAACCCTGAGAACATTAGGATTCTGGTGACCTTCATCACTTACAATAACTCAAAAGTCTTAGGTGTGTCACATTTACCTATATTACTTCTGTAGATTCATTAATTATTATGGATACAGTATTCATGGCTGGAGGAAAAGTTGTAGTTTCAAGGATATTTTATTACATGGTTTTGCCAAAGTCTGCATACAAACCTAAAGAAAGTTTGTTCTTTGTAGAACCTCTTCACTGTTTACCTCTACCCACAAAAATTGGTTACCATCATCCAAAGAATAATGATGAATCCACAGTATACATCTATATATGACATCTGATTTTGATTTGACAACAAACAGGAGTTGTGAAATATATCAATATGTAAACATCTATCTATCCTATTTTAAACAGGCATTTGTCCAGTAGAGTACAGGTTGGATCACCAGTCACCATGAAATTAATCAAAGTACCACAACTCATAGAGAGAGGTAAAACCCTATAAATCAATCTGTTCAATGTTAATTATTTAATAGTGTAAACATATAGATATAGGAAGATGTGGTATGAGTGCCAATGAGACAACTCTCCATCCAAGTTACAATTTATAAAAGTAAAATATGTATTGTTCAAAAGGATAAATGGATTAGACACAAGTTTTTCAACTTATTTAGGTCCTCTCCCCTTCAATGTTAACTAAGGGTTACCTAGAAAAAATGTTTGGTTTTTGAAAACAAATTGAATGTATTATTTAATTTTCTTTGATTAGCTAATGATTTAATGTTTTAAAGATGTTTAGTAATAGGTCGAGGGTCTAAGATAATAATCATTTTTTATTTGTGCTCTTATAAACACAAATAAAGTACTTCCGCACATACCAAATCACACATATATAGGAACAGCTGGCCAAGATGAATGTAACAAAGATAAAAACGGTCCTCAATGTCACTTTATGACACACTCTCAGCTGCTGCAGCATACATGTTATGTGAACATATCGAGATGTAAAAATTCAGAAAAAGGATTCATTCAAACATTATGCAACATCAAAATCTATTTAAATACTCTTATTAAAACTGATGATAATGTAATGTGTTACAGTTATTACAATTTTGAATACAAAACATGCATTAAGGGTGGGTAGGTGGGAATCTTAAGCCCACTTAGACTGAGCCTCAAATGGTCAATGTTAACCTTTACTGTGGCTTTTATACAAAGAACTTTAAACTCTTAACACTGTTAAGGTAACTTATTTTTATGCCAATAATGATTTAGGTACTATTAAGTACTGTGGTGAACATGAGCACATGTGTTCACTGTATAAGAACAAACCCATTTGCTTCTGATAGTAAAAAATGCTAAACTTACGGTAGTTCAAATTTGGAGAAAGGGGATTTGGGCATTAAAGGGAGTACTCATGAGGTGATGGACCAGGAAGAAGCTGAAGTAAGAAACAAGAGGCATTATGTTAAGGGCTGCTGCATAAAAACATATATTTGACCCAGGGAAGGCACTTTGGAATTTCAACTATAAGTAGGTGTCAATAATTTTTCGTACAATGAAAATGTAAGTGTAATTTTTAAATTACCTCTATTCCTGGGTACCATACATTTTGTATATGTTTTCCTCTTTAGGTGGTTATCACATTTTAAAGTGTCTTTCCTGGGTACCATATATGTTTTCCTCTATAGGTGGTTATCCCATTTTTAAGTGTCTTTCCTGGGTACCATATATGTTTTCCTCTATAGGTGGTTATCACATTTTAAAGTGTCTTTCCTGGTACCATATATGTTTTCCTCTTTAGGTGGTTATCCCATTTTAAAGTGTCTTTCCTGGGTACCATATTTGTTTACCTCAAGAGGTGGTTATTCCATTTTAAAGTGTCTTTCCTAGGTACCATATATGTTTTCCACTATAGGTGGTTATCCCATTTTAAAGTGTCTTTCCTGGGTACCATATATGTTTTCCACTATAGGAGGTTATCCCATTTTAAAGTGTCTTTCCTGGGTACCATATTTGTTTACCTCAAGAGGTGGTTATTCCATTTTAAAGTGTCTTTCCTAGGTACCATATATGTTTTCCTCTATAGGAGGTTATCACATTTTAAAGTGTCTTTCCTAGGTACCATATATGTTTTCCACTATAGGTGGTTATCCCATTTTAAAGTATCTTTCCTGTGTAACATACATGTATATGTTATAAATGAACAGCCCTAAGATGTTACCACATTTCACAATTGAATTATTGTTGTCGTAAGTAAATGAGGTTTACAGGGGTATGTTTGGAGGTAATAAATCCTCATAAGATAAGTAGCTGTCCTATTATGTGTTCCTCTTTGGTTGTGATAACACAAAAGTCTGAAATATTTGCTGGATAGGCCTTCCATAGATTGTCGTAACCCGAAATGACTACATTCATTGTGTTGTCAATATTTAGAATATAAAAAATATGATTAAAACACAATGGATGTACATGTCTGCATTTGTAGATGAAGAACCACCAAAGCCAGTATTTGAGAAGAAACCATTGAACTGGGAGGAAGACATGCAGTTGTATTCTAGATTTCTTGATAGAAAGGTATATGGTTTAAGATATTTATTCTTTGAAACGTTCTAATCCTAGTTTTAAAATTGGTTTCCATGTGCATGATGTCAAGGGATGCTCTCTGAAAAGAACTACTGGTAGATGTAATCTGGCAATTAGAGAATAATTTTTTGCAGTTTGAAAACATTTTAATTATGACCTTTCTAAATGTTATTTTCTGTTAAATTTAAAGTATATATAGAGATTGCTTTGTATGGTAACAGGGTTGATGTCAAGAGACTTTGCACTATAACAGTTTGGACATTAAATCAGCTCCTGTTGCATGAATTGGATGAAAATAATATGCCTTTAGTAGTTAATGTACTATTATAAAATTTGATGTGTAGAGTTTAATTCAACCTTATTTTTACTTTTTGTGTTGATCTTCTTACATTTAACAGTATAAAGTCATTTGCACATTGAAAATTTCATATAAATGTTAGTTGACTACAATTGTGTTTCCTCCTAGTGTTTTTGAGATAACATTTGGTATGAAGCTGTTTATTAATAAAATCAATTTTATTCTCTGATCTGGTTGATATAATTGCAGAATTTTAAAATTACATTTCTTATTAGACATTCACCTGATTGAAAGTTTAATGTGTGTATGTCTATTTGTAAAAACTGTATTTTATAAAGTTTGGAGATATTTTCATCAACAAATTATAAAACTGTATTTAGATATATTTAGTGAATATATGTTGTTATATGTTATTTTTAGTAGACAGATATTTCTTAATTTTAGTATTCTTTCCAAATTATTTCTTTTCTATCTTTTAGGAGGAACTAAAAGCTGACCACTCTTCCTATATTAGATCACATCCAGAACTTAAAAGTATTCTAGCAGACTTTTTACAGTTTCTGTTATTACGGAAACCAGATGATGTTGTACAGTTTTGTGCTGAATATTTCTCAGCTTTTTCTCCTACCATGCCAACATCAACTTCTTATCTTGCTTCGAATGCTCCAACACCTTTCCCAGCCAGCAGGACCAACACAAAAATAGATCAGCTAAGAGCACCTACTCGATAGATAACAATAGTACAAAGTCATTTGTTTACTCTCTGGTTGTATAAATCTTGATGGTAGCATGTTCTGTTATCAAGAATGTTATGAAAACAACAATTATTTCAGTCCAAGAATATCAAATCTTAAATTTTGGTTATTTATAAAAATGATTCAATAAAGCAAATCAAGCTTGGATATGGTACCTGAAATTGATTGATAGAAGTTTTCTTTACAACAGTAAAATATATGGAACTATTCTATAAAATGGCATTGTCTTTTGTTCCTTCAATTAATAGTAAAAAGATAAGATTTATGTCATTTGGAAAAGTGATGATTATATTGTTTTAGTTCTGAATGTATTTCTATCAGCCTTTTCAAATTGATTTTTTAAAATGAAAATGAGAAATATTTGTTTACATTTTCATTAAATTTAAATACCAGTAATGCTGAAATATTTTACAAGTAACTTGAACAAACAACTAATATGCCTTGTTACCATGTAAGTGTTAGACTTTCACCAAAGATGACATTAGTTTTATAAAGGACATTTCAGTGAATATATTGTTAACTGTTTTTATTATTGTTATTTTAAATTATACATGTATATATGTATGTATAATTATATTGTTACATAATGATGTTCCAATCATTGATTATAATAGTAAATGTAGTGATTGTTGAAAATTTTAGATTAATCAATTATAATTTCAGCAATCAATACTGGATAAAGGTAAAAATATCTCTACGATTATCGTTTTTCACGGAACCTCTTCCCCATCCCTGTAAATGTAACAATGCCGTAAAACACCCATGACACATTTATTTTATACTTATACCCACTCTTTTGGTGTATTCTACGTTTACATATCTGTATGTTAGGATACTTCTCCTTCAATATTATATTTGACATGCACCAGTATTACATGAGGAACAAGTTCTTACTTTATTTGCAAATCAATTAAAAACCTGTCATAAGAAAAATTTGAATTGAGCTGATTCCCAACACTAAAATTGTATGATAAACATTTCTTCATCTTCATCATTGTATATATTATAATCATTTATTTTGCTATTGTTGACAATATAATAAAGATATTGTTATAAAGTCTTATAGTTACTTTCCACTTGTTTTGCTGATATTCAAAGTACCTCTTTTATTTGGGGATTGGTAATGTCTGTTGATTTTTTGTTTGTTATATTTCATGTCTGTCTGCCTTTACATTGTATCTGCAACTCTTCTCAAAGGAAAAGAAGTGGCAAGACCTGTTTTAGAGTTTCAAATAACAGATGACACAAGTCATTCATTAATAACATATAGGATATGTGCCTTATATATATGTTTGCTGTTTGCTTTCAAACTTTATGATTTAAAGTAAAACAGCAAAAACTTGTAAAAAAATCATTTTCTGATATTTCTGTTGAAATATGAGCAACAGCATTCCTAAAAAGCGACAAAATATGTTTACAAGGATGTTGTATGTGAAATATCTGTCTAGGTATGAATGTTGCTCATATTTAATATGACCTAAATTATGCGAAAAATTTGTACCGGTAATTTTGTCAAACATATCAGTAATGAAATGTTTAGGATGTCACTATAGTGTCTGACGTCACAAATGATATTTCTGCACTAAGATTACCAGGTTTTGTATTCTAATTTATCACTTTTTTACCTTATTTTCAAAAGGTGAAGAATTTGATTATTTTTGCAATTTCACAGACCAAGTAATGACTCTTTTATACTTTCTCCATTCAATGGCACATGCACAGAATCTTGAATTCCTAATTACATTTTTTTGTTTCCTACTATATTATTTGAGGAGTGCAGAATGGTATAGGATTGATCTCAGGCCTTGTCAAACCAAAGCCCTAAAAATTGTGGTTTGCTGCTTTCCCACTCAGCATGCAGCATATAGAAGTTAGATCAGACTGGTTGGCTTAGAGTCAGAACAATGTGTCCTAATAGGGTGTGGTGTGTTCTAATGGACTGTTAGTCTATGAACTAGAACATTAAAAATCCAAAACAAAAAGTGCAAAGCATAGTTCATTTACAAAGCTCATTAAAGTTGTCATTATATAAATATATAATATTTGCCACTGGACTTTAATCACCAAATAATCAATCCATTGATGCATCAGGGTATTGTTCAACTCCTGCTTCATTTTTTATTTGATTAATTTGGGGTTGCTATATTGTAAAACATGGACTGCTTTATGGTGGGAAATGGCAGGGGAGCAGTAAATTATAAATTTACCTTACATCTTACCAAGGCTTTTTTTTTTGGAAATGTGAAAAATAAATGTGTTATTTATAGGTCAGGAAGAAAGCACTTGCGTGAATATTGTTTGCCATATTTAAAGATTATGTTTTTTTGTAACTAATACAGTTTTTCCATTTTCCATGTAGCCACAATAACTGTTCTCTTCAAAATGTCTCTTGAATTGTCTCTAAATTGTAAAATAAGTCACTAGAAAATAATTCGTTTCACTTTGGTGTAAAATCTTTTCTATATAATTTGGAAAGCAAATACATTTTGTAGTGTCTGAACATTTCCAGAAGACGATCCCTATGCCACAGTTAAATGTGTGACATCACTGAGTGAAACTTATTACCGAATGTGTACTTACCACGAGCAATCATTTACCTGACGGGTGACATCATCAAATGAGACGTCATATCGTATGCCTCTTTTATAAAATGTATTTTTTAAAGAATTAAAAACGAACCCATGTTTCAGATGATCTTATTATGTGACCATGTCACTTGGTGCAGTGTGAAGGAGCTTTTAGGAGAGTATTAATTGCAGCAAATATTTCATGCATGTTCAGGATGAAAACAAATTAACAATAAATTCAATAATTAGATCCTGTAATTGAGGCCGTCCGGGATGAAGGTCGGGGAAATTTGAACTGCCATTGGAAATGAGGATATATTGGATAGGGACAGAAATTTTGCAAAACAAAATTAATTGTAATTGAAAAAAAACGATGTTAAATAAAGTATCGATCTAAGAGTACATGCAGTTACTGAATTTTTGGTGTTAATAAGCGATAACTAAATCGAAAACTTGGGATTATCTCGTGCAGAGGTTATCGTTTAGTGAAGAAATCGGTATAAAAATTGTGACATGGTAGCTGTAAAAAATTACGTAGATTTGAATTATGTCCGTAATCTGGGACTATTATACTAGTATAATTGTCCCAGCCGTAACTGAGGTTACACATACATTTCATGGAAGGAAATGTATTTTTTACTTATATCATACAATACATGTACTACCCCACATTGTCACTAGAAAAACACCAGATTTATGAGGGTAGTAATGCCCTTTACCGTCAAACGGTCATCTTCGGCTACCGTTAGCGTCAAATTGGTTAAAATTTTACCGTGATTCGTCAAAATATCATGGCCTTATTGTGATTCGTCAGAGGTCTCGAATAATTATCGTTACCGTTATTTTTGGACAAAATTTAACGTGATTCGTCAAAATCAGTCGATTGTTTTATCGTCTAAAAGAAAGTGTACATTTTATCGTCATGGACCAAAAATTACCGTTAACGTCATTTGGCAAGAATTCAGTTTACCGTTATTCGTCATGAAGGTACCCCCATTACGACCCTCATTTATTACTAAGTTCAAAGACTCGTGTAACTCTTACAAAAGTCAACTGATAAAAATTTCTTGTGGATATGCAAATCTACATATTAAGTATTCATTAACTACAAAAGTTTTAAGAAATTTCATAGTGTGATTTCAGAGGAGTTGCGCCCGACAAAATTTGCTGTTGAATGTTAATATGACAAAAATTTCTAAGTTCAAAGTGGCAATTGAATCATAAATTCCTGTCATTATTGTAATATTGTAACTTTCATTCATTCATAAATATTTATACAGTTCAGAGTTCACGCACGTGTTGTGTTGATGGACATAGCAGATAAGGGCGCGTCGTATTGCTTTATGTATTTGTGTTGATTACTAAGCTCTAGCATTATATTAAAGTATGTTAATCAGTACACATGGCTTGTCTCTTAGTTAATATATATAGGCTACCAACGTTACAATTATGCACATCTACATAGTACTAGTATGTCCTTATTATCTACAAAGTTTCATAAAATTCTGTTTGTTTGGTTTCAGATGAGTTGCGATGACAAGAATAGGAATGACGAACGGGTCGACTTGAAATTTTATACCCTACGCAAATTTGTTGCGTGGGGTAAATACAATGAGATGTGGTATGATTGACAATGAGACAATTTCCTAAATCCGTATGGTTTGAAATTGTTTGTTGAGTGTTCACAAATGATATGGCTTCTTCGGCTTAAATTCAATGCTTGCGATCTCTACAAGCCTCATTTAAAAATACTTAAACAAAAAACTTAACAAGTGTCATCAGCTTATTAATAGTTATTGTACCAATTTTATTTCATAAAACATGCAAGTATAAAATGAAAAATTTATTAGCAAACCTATTCCATTAAATCTTTTATTTCGAAGTTATAATCTCGGAAGTAATGGTATTTTATACCAATATTAATTCTAATATAATTTTACGGCAAATCCATTATTTAATAACATAATTATGGATTTTACATTAATACCTCCAACTGAAGGGAGATAATGGGGTAGAATAAAAAGGTAATCATTATATATATCAATGGGCGTAGAATTGATTGTCTTATGTACGCCGATGACATTATTATATTATCAAACACTAAACAGGGTCTGCAAACCCGACTTGATAACCTGCAAACTTATTGTATTGATTGGTGTCTAGATGTTAACTTGTCCAAAACAAAAGTTTTAATTTTTAACAAGCCTGGAAAATTTTTGAAGGAATCACTTTGTTTAGATAATGAGGCTATAGAATGTGTTAACAGATATAAATATTTAGGGATAGTCTTTACTTCCAGTGGTCTTTTTCAGCAGGGGAAAGAAGAGCTATTCAAAAAGTCCTTAAAGGCAAAATTTAAACTACAAAAATCCATGTCAGCTTGTAATCCAAGTATTGATACTGCAATCCATTTATATGATCACACAATAAAACCAATTTTATTATATTGTAGTGAAATCTGGGGTACCTTTAAGATTAACTCTGCTGCTTGCAAGAAAAAAAGTGATTATCTATTTGAATTAATTTACATAAATGATTATTTGGAAAAATCACATTTCAGGTATCTAAAATATATTCTTGGTGTAAATAAAAAAGCCTCAAATTTGGCAGTGTTATCAGAGGTTGCAAGATTTCCTCTTTATTTTTCTGTCATTATATCTATGGTAAAATATGTACACAGGCTTAACAAATTGGACGATGGGTTACTTTATGATGCTTATGTTTGTAATAAAATTTTAGATGCAGGAAACATTAATTGTTGGTATTCATCTATGAGATATGTCCTTCAATCACTTGATATACAAAATTTGAATACAAAGCTCAATAGATTAATTAAATTTGTAAAATGTAAACTTTGTAACAGTTTTAAAACATTTTGGGGGGTCAAAAGATCTGATACCTTATCACAAGGTAATAGTAAATTAGAAAATTATTTCAACCTCAAGACTGACTTCGTAAAGGAGACTTATTTATCAATTAAAGATTTTAATATAAGAAGAGCTATATGTAAATTGAGAATAAGTGCACATGATCTTAAAATTGAGAAAGATAGGTATAGTAAAAAATACATAGAGAGAAGTCAGCGTCTATGTCATCACTGCCTATTACATGGATCAAATTCTATTGAAGATGAGACCCATTTCACAGTAAGTTGTCCTTTATATAACGAACAGAGAAAATTATTATGGGATAAAGTAAACAGTTTTTGTAATAATTTTAAAGAATTACCCAAGGATAAAAAATATTTCTGGCTGTTCACAAATGAGCATTTACCAACTCTTATGTGCCTAGGCAATTATATAATTAAGTGTTTAGAAATAAGATCCAGGTGGATACAAAATATATAAAATTATTGTGCAATTATTGTTAATGTTATGTAAGACACATGATGTGTTAGGCTCTGATCCTGTCCAATATATGATAGTATTATATTAGGATATAGTTTTTCTTTTTTCCAATCATATTGTGCTTAATATTGTTGTAAATGATGC